GATGTGTCACATCTGCAAGTGGCTTTTCTGAAGACTGGCATTTGTTCTTCATCATCGCATATTAGGTGGCGGAGTGCTGGTAGAGTGCTTTGATGCTCGGGGCTTGAGGCTCGCCAGCACCGAAGACCCGCGAGACGGGCCGACATATCTGGCTGCGGGCTCCGTGCATTATTTGAATCTGCATCCTGATTCGGGCTGGCGCGATAGCGATGAGACCGCAACGGAGCACTGTTGATATATGGATGTCTTTATTGCACTACTAGTGCTCTCGTCTCTGCGCTATCCTGCCTGAAACTAAGGAGTTTCGCCAGACAATGAGCAGCCTGCAAGTGCCACCACCTATCGTCAACATGGATGGGTTCACGAACTCTTTGATTTTTGACGACACGCTTCACGTCGCCTATCGTGGATTCGCTCCCGATTTTTTGGCGAGCACCTTAATCTGCATCTTTGGCCGCGGCATGGCGTTGCAAGCAGCGTGCAATATGGCTGGTGATTGGGCGCGGGCGCGCGGCTACTATCTGAGCATTGACGAGTTTAGCTTGTCGGACGACAAGTTTCCGTCGCTCAATGCTAAGGGCTGGGAGATCAAGCTCCTGTGCCTTTGGATAGCCGCTTTCTCGCATCAATTTTCAACAACTGCAGATTCAAACTTAATAAATGCTTTTGGGCCTTTTGCCTTACAATTGAGGCTGAGATCGTTCCAGCTTATGCGCGATCAGAACAGGCTTCCTGGGATCGCCAGTTTGCTTACGTTCTCTCAATGCGCCTGGTCTCTATGGTTTTTGCAAGAATTCAAATTCACTAGGATGGGGTTCAGAAAATTTCTCTATCTGCATATAGGGACATGTGCGTCGGTGTCAAACTATCCTAGGGCAGCCCGTGCGTTGGCGATGAGCATCAAGATCTTGGACAAGACTACATATGCCGTGGCGCGTGAGGATGTTGATCCAGGGATCGCCGCCTGCCATCGCTTCGTCCTGGGATATGTCTGGTTAGCTTTCTCCTGCCACTTGGAGGACCGGAAGCTGTTCAAGCTTCGGCCGAAGAAACTTGGTTCTGATACAGAGGGCCGGTTTCGCTGAAACAACTCTTGTGTAATTTGCGCAAATAAAGCCACTTAGGATCCACACGTGGATCCACATGTGGGAGCGGCAGAAGAGAGCCGCTTGAATCCTCAGTTGAACGCCTGTTACGCCGACGAGGACTTCATCAGAATAATGTGCGCAGTGGTTTTTTGGCAGGAACTTTATTGGCTTAATCGGTGTATCTTGTTTCAAGCCGCGGGCTTCTATCTCGAGCTGTGTACTTTTCAGGCATCCGGATGTGGGCCGTCGACAGCTGGCAGGAGTGCCGTGAAGAGATACCTGGCAAATGCCGTGTGCCGCTGGAAGACCAGACTTGGCGAAGCGAGAGGAAACTGTCGTTGGTACCTCCTGCAGGTCAGTGAGCAAGCAAGCGGTGCATCTCAGTCCCTGCTGCATGTTTTATGTGTGGTGATGCATTAATTGACACAAGCTGCT